CTGAGGCTCCATCTAACATACTTTGGACATGTTGTAAGGAGGGACTGGTCCTTGGAGAGGGACATCATGCTTGGTAGGGTGGAGGGACAGTGCAGGAGGGGAAGGCCCCCATGAAGTGGACTGATTCAGTGACTGGGGTAATTGGGATGGGTGTATTAGAGACGGTGTGATTGACACAGGACAGAGCAGAGTTTAGGGCTGTTGTACAAAGGGTCGCTATGAGTCGCAAGCAACTCGACGGCACATAACAACAACATACTTAACTGACTTTTCAGTTCTCTGATGTATAGCAGGTGAACGGAAAAACCACAGCTTGAATCAGGAGCTTAGCCATTAAACTGACATCACTGATCTTCAGCACTTTGAAGAGGTCTCTGACAGCAGACTTCCCAATGCTATACATGTACTGATCGCCTGACTGCTGGTATCAAGAGTGTTGACTGTGGATCTATGTAAGATGAAATCACTGACAATTTCAACCTTGTCCCCATCTATCATGATGCTGCCCATTGGCCCAGTGGTGAGGATTTTTGTTTTCCTGATGTTGAGATATAATCCAATTTGAAGGCTGTAATCTCTGATCCTCCACAGTAAGTGTCTCAAGTCCTCCTAATTTTCAGCAAGTACAGTTGTGGCATCTACATAATGCAGGTTATTGATGAGTCTTCCTCCAATCTTGATGCTACATTCTTCTTTATAAAGCCCAGCTTTTTGGAATGATTTGTTCAACATGCAGACTGAATAGGTATGGGAAATATATACAGCCTTGATGCATATCTTTCTTGTTTTTAAACTATACAGTGTTTCATTGCTCTGTTACGGCAACATCTTCTTGGTCTAGGTAGAGATTTGATACAAAGATAATAACGTTTTCTATAATTCCCATTCTTCTACACACAATCAAACAAAACATAGTCAATAAAACACAAATAGACATTTTTCTGGTAGTCTCTGCTTTCAGCCAGGATCAAATTAACGTTAGTAATGATCTCCCTGGTGCCATGGCCTCTCCATTGCAGTTCTCTGGCAATGAAGTGTTCTAGCAGTTTTAGGATGTTCTTCAGGATTATTTTGCTTGTATGTGATATTAATACTTGAGAAGTTCCATGTCCTTTCTTGGGAATAGGAACAAATATGGATCTCTTTCAGTCAGTTGGCCAGATAATTGTCTTCCAAATTCCCTGGCACAGACTGGTAAACACATCTAGAGCTTCATATGTTTGTTAAACCATGTTACTTGGTATTCTATTCATTCCAGGGGCCTCATTTTCTTGCCACTGACTTCAATATAGCTTGAACTTCTATGGGATATATACAACTCAAAATTACTACATCTGTGGAAAGAGTTGGTGGAAAAGCTCAATATCAGTCAGAATAAAACCAAAGGCCGACTGTGGAACAAACCATCAGTTGCTTATTTACAAGTTCAAAATATGACCTTAAAAACGATCTCAAAAACAGATCTGATGCACAGAATGTTAAAGGATTGAAGGACGTGAGACACTTACTATGGAGGAT